TGCTCCTGGGTTCAGTTTTAGCTCTGTGTGATCCAGTGTACTTGGCATTATCAAGAGAGAGCTATTCAAATGTTATTCAAATAGAATTGAGTAGCTCAAAGATAAATCTCTCCTAAAGGCATCTTCATCTCTCCTTCTGCAATTCGTCGAGATCTTTTATCTCTGTTAATATTGCCTGGAGCTCCTGTCAGAACACGACCAGGACATACGAGGTAATTATGTCAAGGTGTCCAGCCTGAGACAAACAGGGACCAAGTAGCTGCCATGCAAACAAGCCAGAGATGTGAGCACTGACATGCCAGATCTGCTTACCCACGTGTAATGGACTTAATTTGGGGCAGCTACGTGCAACAGCCCTGGCTGGGTCCCCTCTTGCAGGCTGTGTGTAGGCATTGCTTGGAGGGGTACTGCAGCAATCCTCCCCCTCCATCTTTCTGTGATGCATTGAGCAACCATCCCTCGGCATCGTCCATGGCTGTGGATGAGCAGCGAGGCCGTAGCTGCATTGGCTTAGGGAAAGCAGCTGCACAGAAATGCCAATGCAGCATGAGAGCTGCAGTCTGTTTGCAGTTTCAAAGCATAAAAGTCAGTACTGCCTTTGGGTTGCAAACACTGCTGTCTACAAACTTAAATGTTGGTATAAACAAAGAAAAATAGCCAATTTCTGTCTGTGTTCAGTGCTGCCAGCTGCAGTCGCTAGAGCAGCTGTAGGGTGGCTGGGTTTGCTTTCTCTGGCTTCTGCTGTTTCTCTTCTAGAGACTGGTTTGGGGATTTTCAAGAACGTGTACTGAATTGACCTGGATATTACAAAGCCAGCACGTAAATGCTGTTTTGTATGGAAATTAATAGTTGTTTTTCAAACCTTGCTTTAATTGTGAAGATCAAAACCTGTGGTAAGAGGAACCTTTTGAGCCTAGGAGCTGCCATGCTTGGAAATGGTGAGCGTTCCCTTTAATACACACTTCTCTGGAAGACAAGCAGCTCTCCCAATACAGCTGGTTGCTTGTGCCACGCTCTAACACATTTTGCTGGTGTGTTTTATTTGCTGGTGTGTTTTAGCCTTCCTGGAACAGGGAGTGAGAGTCCTAACCTGTTGTTTTCCCCATTAACAGACCTTGGAGAGGACTCCAGCCCTGCTTGCTGCAGTGATGTGCAGTACCACAGGTGCTTCTGTGCCATGAAAAGTCAGTCCTGGCTCACTGCTACCCTTTAGTATTTGCTCTGGGAAAGGGGCTGTTGGACTGGGTGTGTTGGGTATTTCTGTGTCAGCCTAGGAACTGGACAAAAGTGTAAGGTACAGATCGAGGGCTAGCAGCAAAAAGAGCACGGAGTGATCACTGTGGTGATCATTAAACACTTCTCAGCATTCGTGTCTGCTCCCTGGCCCACCCCCAGTGTACGAGCACAGCCTGGAGCAGTGCAGGGAGGAGCCTGTCAGCCTGCAGCCATGGGGGTGTTTCAAGTGCTGCTGAGCTAAATGAGCAGAGACGATCCCATAACGTGTTTCTTACTCTTTATTTCTTGCTTAATTCCCTATTGATAGTTCCTCCCTACAAACATGGTACTTGGTGTCAGCTAATCCAACCCTGGCCTGTATTTCAGGTGTGTCTTTAGTTACTCCTTTGCACAAGAACCGTCTGTGGTAGTGGCTCGTCTGCTTGCCTGCACCTATTTGGTCATCTGTCAGTTGGGACTTTGTGTTTAGCAAATCCCATTTACAGTGTGGCTGTTGTTGAATAGAAAAACTGTAAGATGTGAATGTTAGTGGATGGATTAAAACACCAGCTGAGGATTCACAAGTCAGCCCCGTGGCTTTCAGTGCCCCCAAGAAGAACCATGTGGCTCGGTCCCCTTGTGAGCTGGGTGTGTTAACGTGCTGTTAACGCTAGATCAGGCTTGGTCTCCTGTCTTCTCATCAAGATACCAAGATCTGACAACTTGGTACTGTAAGGTATTAATGCCTTCACATCACCAGTGCTCTGCTTGTGCGATCATCCACACTGCAGAGAAAGTCCCTTTGGTTTCTCTCTGGTCACAGTTGGGATGTGTACACCAGCTGCTGCATCACACTCAGTGCTGATTCGGAGTGGCATGTTTAAGCACACAGCAAAGGTATTTGATCCTAGAAAGAGCCATAGCCTTGTTCTTTATGTGCTGCTCACAATTTGTATGTTGAGAAGCATATTTAATTGGCTCCTCTCTATAGGGGTGTGCAGACGCTCAGCTCTGGTCACCCATCACCCTGCTGCTGCTCCTCTGTTCCTGCAGGAGGGAGGAGCTGGGCTCAGCTCGTGGTCCGTGCAGTCGCCAGTCACTGATCACACTGTCAAAGCAAATGCATGGGTCGTGCACAGGCAGATTGCTCAAAGCAGCAACAGAGCTCTTTTCTGGGAACAGGAGCATCTGCTGTCATCCACAGCCCAGCTGTTGCTCTGTAACTGAAGGCCCATTTTGGAGAAATACACACTTTTACATCCACTCTTTACTCTGGTCGTCACTACTTTGTGTTAGCTGAAACCTCTAACTTGCTCGAAGCCTGACAAGACCTACAAGTGTTTCAAAAAGATGAAATTTTATTCGTAATGCTGAGTGTGCTTCAAGCTTGTCAAACTGTATGCAGTATACCTGTTAATTGAACTGACTGAGAAAAGCATAGAATCATTTAGGTTGGAAAAGGCCTTTAATGTCATTGAGTACAACCAATGACCCAATGCTGCCAACTCCACCACTGAACCAAGTCCCTGAGCACCACATCTGCCAGTCTTTTAAACACCTCCAGGGATGGTGACTCCCCCGCTTCTCTGAGCAGCCCCTTCCAGTGCCTGACAACTCTTTTCATGAAGAAATTTTTCCTGATACCCAATTTAAACCTCTACTGGTGCAACTTGAGGCCATTCCCTCTTGTCCTATCACTTGTTACCTGGGAAGAGAGATGGACACCCTCCTCACTACAACGGCTTCCAGGTAGCTGTAAAGAGCAGTAAGGTCTCCTTAGCCACTCTCCTCAGCCTCTAATTTCATGATTGCTATGCCCAAAACGGCCTCCAACCACCACATCACCCACAAGTCCTTCTCTGTTCACAAACACCAGGTCCAGCAGGGTGTCTTCCCTCGTTGCCAGCTGTGTTGGGAAGTTACCTTCCCTTCCACACACTCCAGGAGTCTCCTGGGCTGTTTCCTCTCTGCTGTACTGTGTTTCCAGTGGACATCTGGTAAGTTGAAGTCAAGGATAAGAGGGTCATTAGGAGCAGTCAGCATGGTTTTACCAAGGGGAAGTCATGTTTGACCAACCTGGTAGCCTTCTAGGAGGACATAACCAGGTGGAGAGATGCTGGTAAGGCGCTGGATGTGGTTCATCTTGATTTCGGTAAAGATTTGACTCCCATAGCATCCTCACAGCTAAACTGAGGAAGTGTGGTCTGGATGATGGGGTAGTGAGGTGGACTGTGAACTGGTTGAAGGGAAGAAGTCAGAGAGTTGTGGTCAATGGGACAGAGTCCAGTTGGAGGCAGTAAGGACACCTTGTTCTGTCCACCCCGAGTGGGGGTGCAGTGGAGGAAAGGCAGCATGGGGAGCACTGACACACTGTGTATTTAAGAGGGCACCTCTCATCCTCTCGTTCCCCATCAGCCTGTTATCTGTGTCGGAATGGAAACACCGCATTAAGCTGTTTCTGGTTCAGTGAAGGGGCACTTGCTAGCCAAAGGCGGACTGTATTTGAATTTTCTTTCAAATGCCTCGTTAACTCTCCCCTGATTTACTGCACGCGTGATTATCCTAATGTTATTTTACAACGAGATCTTTCTTCTTGGAGGAGTGGAAAAACTAGAGCAGTAGGTAACTGTGTGACCAAGCAACCAAAGGTGCCCAGCATGAATGACACGTGAGTTGTGTGTCTGGGGGCATTGCTGCAGTGTTGTGAGATGTGCCATGGAGGGTGGCTTTTGTACAGGTTCTCTTTCTCCGTTGTGCCTCTCAGACCGCTCTTTCTGTTGTCTTCTCAGAATTTATCGTTGCACCATTTTCTGGAGAAAAATCAGGCTTCACTGCCACTCCAGAATGGCTACGTCCTTTTTAGCAGGACTCCACTATCCATGCTGTCTTCTTTGGGGAAATCCTTGGTGTTTGGACAGTCCCAGTTGTGCTCAGGCCCTAAGAAGCCAGTGCATGTACTCTGTAGGTGTTGAAGTTCAAAGGAGCCTCTGACATGATAAACCTGTGGGCACTGGGCAGGCACCCCTGGTGTATGGCCAGCAGGACCAGCTCACAAATACACCAGTGCACCACAGCTGAGGTGTGAGTGGCTGGGAATGGCATCAGGCAGGTCCAGATGCAACCATCGCTGTGTGCAAGGACCTCTTCACAGCCTCTGGCCATGGCAGTTGTTTGGTTGCTATTTTTCTGGTATGGTTTGGTGTATTTAATTGCTGGGGATCCTCTTTTCCATGGAGCAGGCCCTCTATGGGACATGTGGTAAATAACCGTGATCCCTCAGCGTAATTACTTAAGCTCTCCAGGAGACTTATTTTAAGCAGCTTAAGTGCTAAGTTTAACCACCTTAAAGACTTAAGGCTCCATCCATCCCAGACTAGCTCTGAGGCCTCAGAGTACTTGTCTCCAAGCATTGATGCTCAAGGGTTGTTTTCAAGGCTTTCCCTGCACTGGCAGCAGCAGAGCGTTCTCCACCACCAACAGACCACCGAGCCTTGCTTGCTGGCTGAGGCAAAGCCACCAGTGAGAAATTCCAGAGCATCAAATTCGTGTTCTTTATGGTAGTAAATGTACCATGTCCAAGCAATTCTGAGTAAATGCTATCAAGAGCAAGGTCAGTTGAAGCAACTGCCAGCCTAGCACCAACTCCTTTTCACGTTGCTCGTGGGGGGTCAACAGTTCACGACGCTTGTTTGGCTCAGCAGCAATGGTGCCAAAGCTGCAGCAGTGTTGGCTGAATGCGCTGCTTTCTTGGGGGAAGCTGACAGTCTGACTTGTTCTGTCCACAGCTCATCAGTGATGGCAGCGTGGTGTACGCAGAAGCCCTCTGGGACCATGTCACAATGGATGACCAAGAGCTGGGGTTCAAGGCTGGTGATGTCATTGAAGTAATGGATGCTACCAACAAGGAGTGGTGGTGGGGAAGGATTCTGGACAGCGAAGGCTGGTTTCCTGCCAGCTTTGTACGGGTAAGAGCTTGATGTTTCTTTATGGCTTTCCATTAGCACCAGGTGTTTGTTCTTTCTCTCCAGGTTTAGTGTTTGTAGTGACTTCTGAGCACTTTTACTGCTAGAGATAGTTGGTTCAACATGTCTTTGGTTCAACGTGTCTTGTTACTGTTCCTCTACACGTGGCTGCAGTACATCAGGCCCTACCAGCTGAGCTGCCACCAGTGAGGAGAAGCCCCTCTTTACATGAGTAAATCAGGGTAAGGGTGGTTCAGTTCCAGACTCTGGAGCTAAGCTGGGGAGCTGCCCTGCATGGCAGTTTGCAGCCTGGGCTCCTGCTTACCCATGTGTGTGTGCCTAAGCACACAGCATCCCCTTCAGGAGTGAGCAGCAAATGCTTTCCTAGAGGAATCCCAGATGCAGCTGACAGAGATCTTCACCCTGGTGTCCCCTTCAGACAATGTGAATGAGCATGGCACCAAATTCAGACTTCTCCATCTGGTGCTGGGTCCAGTGCAGTGCCCCATCCCAAAGCACACAACCACCTGACACCTGCACCTTCTCTTAGCCCAGGGCTTTCTCCTGGTGCCAGCTACAAAGGCCATACAGAAATAGCAATATAGAACAGCCCAGTCTGAGCTGTACACTGCAGAGGCTGGGTTAATTTCCAGCAGAGTGTTCTGAAACTCATCTGATTTCTCTGTGCAAGCATCGGGGTAACTGCTGTGCACTCCTTTCCTGCTGTGAGGAGAAAGGCTTTTTTCCTCTCTTTAGGCTGTGACTGTTGGTGTGGATGCCTGACTTCAACGCTTTGGGGCAGGCTCCTCAGCACTGCAAAGGCAATTAGAGGTGCCTAAGGGCAGAGACTCTCAGCCCTTTAGCTCTTTATCCGGGTCGCTTCAGATCACAAGTGACCCAAAACCAGGTGAAGCATGAGGGGAGGTGATACGAGGTGATCTGGTGTCTGTAACAAAAGTCGTTGGAAAAGTGGGGCAGGTGGTGCTATAAAAGTTTTGAAATGCTTTGTTACAGATTGCAGGAGACAGGCTCAGCTGGATAACTGATACAGATGGTGGGTGTGTGTCTGTGCAAGAGTGCTAGGAACAAACTCAACACTGGTGGTGTCCAGAACGCAGATTTGTTGCCTGGTGCGCACCAAACCAATTCTCACACCCGTGGGGCAGGAGAGAGCCTGCATTTTATTCAGGGCTGGGTGCTCAGTGGATTTCCACAAATTGAGCGTGCCCAATGCCGGCTTTCTTGTAATATTTATACACAAAACGTAGAAGATTACAATGATTGGTCAGTAATTTACATATAATGACAATGTCTGCTGATTCATTCCTGGATCAAAATGTGCCTGCACAGGGTGAGGGTCTTCACTGGGCCAGGCATCTTTCTGACCTGTGGCTGGATATTTTAGTATTATAATGAAGTCAGTTCATGTAAGGTCACCTCATTTTCTACTGTCCATGCCAAGTCTGTGATTAAATCGGGGACAGATTAAGTAGGTCTGTGATTTCAAGAAACAAGACATTCCCATGTCCATGTCTCCATGTTCTAGGGATATTTAGCCTGCAGACTCTTAGAAACTGTTTCTCTGTGATCTGGTTTTGGATGACCAGTCTTCATTATGTCTTTGGGGTTATTCATTAACATACACGTAAAATGCAGATTCAAAATTAAAGTTTATCGCTACAATGGGGGTGGAACTACTTTTTTCAGCGTTTCAACAAGCCTGAGTAAAGATTTCCTGCTGATCACCACTGGGTCTCAAGCTTCCTGCTGGGAAGGTTGGTGTGTTTGGGCACTTGGATAAAGCTGCAGGTGTCTCAGTTATTCCACACACGTTTCAGGCCAAGGTCTGAGTTTAACACTGGCCAATGTTGCTCTGTTTACAATGAAGGAAAACAGGATTGCACATCCTGAGGGTTTCACCAGCAGTAATCAGGAGTAAATGCAATCTATGCAGACATATGTGTATCAAGTGGTAAGTAATCCTACCTGGAGGAAACTACATTAAAAGTTTAAAGCAGTTCTGTCATCGTACTAAAAATGCCTATGGTTATGTTCCTACTTTCCTGTGTTTGTTTCTCTGCTGTGTACAAAATACTCCCCTGGGCACTCTAAGAGCTCCCACACTCCTACAGCAAAGCAAGCCCCGAAGTGAAATGTGCCGATAATTGCCTGCTATTAACTAAGGTGCTTTGCTGTTGTTGACAACACGACTCTGTAGGATGGTGTTTTCCTCTGCTCATGCTGTGCTGCCATCTGATGGGCGCTAGGAAGGAACCATGAGTTTCACACAGCCCTGTAAAGTGTTACCAGGGAGGGCGAGGAGATGAACTGCGTGGTGTTTTAGCTGCTTGCCGGGTTAAACCCTGACATTTTCCGTGGCAGAGTTGTGCTTAGCGATACAAACAGTGACCATCTTGTGTGTCTGGCACAGCTGCGAGTGAACCAGGATGAACCCATGGAGGATTATCCCCTGAAGGTAGAAGGTGGCAAAGAGGACGACTCCAGCAGTGGCACCCGCCGCTTCGGGATGGGGCAGACCACCAAAGATCAGATGAGGACCAATGTCATCAATGAGATCATAAGCACAGAGAGAGACTACATCAAGCACCTGAAGGACATCTGTGAGGTAACAGAGTACAGGGAGAAGTGAACTTCAGAACTTGCCTGAAGGATAGTTAATAGAGCATGGCCCGTTCTTGCCCAGAGCGGTACCTTTAGCAGGTAACGTCTCTTTTCTGAAAATGAGCCTGTATTTCCAGCAGAGCCTGCTCTGCTAAATGGCGTTGCATGCTCAGAGAACAGGAGACAATTCATTACAGCAATATCCCAAATGCCTCTGTATTTGGAGCACCTTGGGCTCTGATTAAACGGAATTAATTGAATTTCCCAAGCCAGAGAAAAGTAAACGTCTAGCATTGCTGTTCTCTGTAACACGTATTCTAAGGTAATATAATCAGCACCTCAGCCTTCAGGCAAGTCGTGCTCGGATCAGAACTGGGGGATGTTGAACCAATTAGATGTTTCACTTGCAAATATGCTGAGTATTGCGACACCTCTTCCAGAAGAGATGTGCTGTCACATACACGGGTAAATGAAGGTAATTGCAAAGAGTTTTACAGGAACATGGTTCATCACTGAAACGACACAGAAATGTAGTGCCTTCCAGCTGGGGCAAAGCAGCACGCACCAAACAAGCCTTTCCTCCTGCAGTGTCCTCCCCTGTCCTTTGTGCCCTCCTCCTTCTCCCTTGAGTCAACCATTTCCCTAACACGAGCACCAAAACCAGGTGTGCATCAGGATTTAATTGGCCTAAATCTGTCAGTGGATCAGGGCTGGGGTCAGAACACCTCATAGCCTGCAGACAGATAAAGGTGTTTTTAACAGGAGAGAGCAGCTCTGGGACTTCTTCAAGTGTGGATTATAGCACATTTAAGGCAGTGATGAAATTGGGGCTTGGTTTCTACTCCTACCATGTTTCGGGTGTGTTATTAGGGGAAATGACAGCTAAACCATGGCTGTACCTATGCAGGAAGGGGGTATGGGAACCTGGTGTAAAACCAACCACATCCATGGGGTTTTGTTGCTAACAGAGCAAACACCCAGGAAGCTTTCCCATGTGGTTTCCTCCTAGGGTTACATTAAGCAGTGTCGCAAAAGAGCTGACATGTTTACAGAAGAACAGCTGAAGACAATCTTTGGGAATATTGAGGACATCTACAGGTGCCAGAAGAAATTTGTTAAAGCACTAGAGAAGAAATTCAACAAGGACCACCCACATTTGAGTGAGGTCGGCTCCTGCTTCTTGGAATATGTAAGTAAATGTGACTTGATGGCAACAGGTAGTCTGAGGATTTGTCACCTGGACTTGAACATAACTCCCACAACACACACTGGTTAGAGAGGAGACCTTGTTTTATTCCGGGCATGGTGCAGGGTGGAAGATACCCACAAAGCAAGCACATCACATGCAAAATTTACAGCGTATTTATCTTGATACCCACTTAGCAAAACACCATCTGAAACCTGTATTAATTGGTACAAAGTTTCTTAATCTACTTTCCATTGTGGCTAATTAGTCTCTTGCTTTCCTGCTAATTACTCTCTGCATGTGCAGTGTTTTCCTTCTTTTGGGTTGAAGGTTGCAGCCTCTCCCTGCTGCATTTACCTTTCCTGCATCTTCCTCATGAGGCAACTGCCCAGCCTCTGGCATCTTTTTGGGCAGGAGGTTCAGCCTCTTACCAGTCTGGCAGCTTCTTTTGAAGGGCACAGTCATTAGGGAGAGCGAAGAGACTGACTCAGGAGTCCTTCAGTTACAGCTTCAAGGGCCACTTCTGCTGCTGCCCTAACTTTACATGCCAGAATGCTTCTCTATGTACGTGTGGTTTCTTTATGTTATCCTGTGTTATTTTATTGCATCGTCAAGGTAATGGTTTAGAAATTGATCTGACAGAACTGAAGCTCTTGATTATAAAAACCCACCCAAGCAAATGAACCACCACCCACCTCCCAACCAAACATCCTCTATGGCTTGTGGCCTTGGAAAGGACATTTCAAAGTGTCTCAGCTCCTACGTGCTGTACTCCCTGCCACACCACGCTGCCTGATGCAGAAACCGTGAGCTGGACCCAGGTTTACAGCTGTGGTGTTTTCAGGTCACTGCAGGATCAGTAACTGCTGATCCTGTCATTAGAACAGTCAGCTGAGCACAGGCCCTGTCTCTCAGATGAGCTGTAAATTGTAGCACACGCTGTCAGGCCCAGCTTCACAGTCTGGGGGGGATCCAAGCAGCGCCACATGATAAAGGAATTGGATGTACACAGGGAACTCCCCCACAGCCTTTTGAGCCAGACAGTAAATCCCTTCCTTTCCCTCGCAGCAAACCGAGTTTCAGATATACTCCGAATACTGCAACAACCACCCCAACGCCTGCATGGAGCTGTCCCGCCTCACCAAAGTCAACAAGTACGTCTACTTCTTTGAGGCCTGCCGCCTGCTGCAGAAGATGATCGACATCTCTCTGGATGGGTTTCTGCTGACTCCTGTGCAGAAGATCTGCAAATATCCACTGCAACTGGCTGAGCTGCTCAAATACACCAACCCCCAGCACAGGTAGGTCAGCACCGCGGGAGGGGAGGAACGAGCCTGGTCTCATGGAAACAGACTAATACAGAATTTGGTTGCTTACCCCCTTCCCTTCCACAAATCGGGCCTGGATTTATTGCAAGGCTCTAATCTGTTCCTCAAAACCAGTGCGCAGCTGAAAAGCCACCCACAGAACCACGTACCCATGACTTCCCCTGTAAAACAGCTGGGATAACTGCAAGTGGAACTCATTCTCTGCTGTCCCAGACCACGGCAGACTGCGCTTCTTTGGAGCACAGGCACAATGAGCACGTGCCATTTTGTCACGGCTAACACCTCTGCCTTGCCCTAGGGATTTCAAAGATGTCGAAGCTGCCTTAAATGCCATGAAGAACGTTGCTCGGCTCATCAACGAGAGAAAGCGGCGGCTGGAAAACATCGACAAGATTGCTCAGTGGCAGAGCTCGATAGAAGACTGGGAGGTAAGAGACCGACGTTCCCCGTGAACCCAATGTTGTGTTGCCCCTCTTCCCCTCTCACCTCCAACAGCTTCTGCCCACAGCAAGATCCTCCTCAGCATTACTGTCGTTCCTCCCCCCCCAGTTCTGCTGCCCCACTTTGTCTGTGGGTTTTTTTATTTAAACAGACATGATCTTTTAGTACAACTGAAAAGGTCTGGCGCATAACCCAGACAGAGCAGCTGTCTTTGCATGTTACCTGAGACTTTTACTTTTTCATTTTCCTTGCAGAATTAAATTTAGCACATAGGTTTGCCCTCTCATTTTATCTTGAGAGAATTCAAACTCTCAAGATGGGCAGAATTGCCTCTTATTATTACATTATTCTTGCAGAAAGGCAAGCTCTGATATAGAGTGGTAAAGCAAGCCGAGGTTCCCTGTACTCATTTAAAAAAACCTGCTAAGTAAAAGAAACAAAACCACTAGTTTTCTAAATCCTAGGCTTAATAAAACCAAACCATCTCCCTGCCCAAGGATGTTAGGCTGAATTCTCAGCTCTGTGTATGTGGCCCTTTAATGTCAGGGATGGATCAGCTGCACAGACTCCCTAGAACATGTATTTTTATTTAACACACTACTGTTCTCATCAAATCCAATGATTATCACTGTTATGACAATGTTCTTACCAGATTTAGTGATTCACCATTCCATGGGTGCCAAGGCTGCAGCATCTCCCTGATGTGACAAGGACTCTCCTCCAGCACAGAGACTCCCTCTCGTTC